TTTTTTTTTTTTTTTTTTCACAAGTTGATTTCAAGTTTAATTACAAAGCAGAAATTTCAATCAATTTCACTTTTGAAATTTATGAATTCACTTAATGGCTAAAATACTTTCTTAATTTCAGAATATTAATGCTAGAGAGTGTATTGATCATAGATTCAAAAAAAGCAGTATGTATGGTGATGCAAATGATAATACATTTGTTAAAGTAGAAAATATGATATAAATTTAATGCTCGTGCTAGATAAGATCTATGATCAGTCGATAAGATATAGTAAACAAAATCAAAATTTGATTATAAGTAAAATGCATTTGTTAGAAATCGGTTTTTTGTGAGGATATTAGATAAAAAGTAAATTTATTAATCGCATTTTTTTTTTCATCGTTCCGCATAAAGGTGTGATTTTATAAATGCTATAAATCAGTCGTAGAAAACGTAGTATAACGATATGCAAACCGCATAGCACCATCAAATTTTCATCAATATGTTATTGATCCTTATTTTTTCTGTATTTGAATTTTCAGATTTTGTATAGATAGATTTATCCATAGTTTACAAATGGAAAGCAAAGTCATGATCGTAAATGCATATTTTATGAATTTTGATTAATTGTTGAAAACAGTAGCAAATATTTGATTAATTATCTTCAGCATATTCAATAATCAGCGCTCTTTAATTCAGTAAGTTCAACTAATTTTGAAGTATGCTAAAATTAAGAGGCTTATTATTTTATTTAAACTTTTAAGGATTATGCAATTGCCTTGAATTTTATAATTTAATTTTTCATACTTTTGAAAGTTAAAATATGCATTATATATTGGCAAAATAAAAAAATTGCTAGATTCCAAATAACTACAAACATTAATTTTATATTTTTGCATTTACAGAAATCCATGTTTAATTTAATTGCTCTATTTAGCCATTAATTTTGTTATTTGATGAGTGGGTAATTAAATTCCTTATCAACTAACGATCATCATCATTTTGTGGTGTTTCTTAGTTCGATGGGATGAATAAATAGATAGATGGACGGACGGCTCATGCGACAAGGTTACTTACACCTTCTTTTCGTCTTTATGTTTCATTGCTATAAGTGCGACGTGACGTGCGAAATTGCGGCTCATTCTTATCACTTCGTTACATCTCGTAAAAATGAAGACAAATATATTAATTCATCATTCAGCTCACGAAACCGTATAATCCATACAGTTTCCACCGACCTATGCAATACTTTCTTGAGCATCGCAATAATGATAAATGCATTGATAAAGTTATCACAAGTTTGAAAATATGAAAGTTTCTGCAAAAGGAAAAAGGAAAAATTTATTATTTACTAAAGCCATCGCTAACTTTACTTATGTGTAAGTAGTATACTTTTTCAGGAACAAACGTTCAAAGATTTGTTCAGAGCATAAATTATTTTATGAATTTGAATTATGAATTTGCCGCAAAACTTTTTTTTATACAAGCACACTTTTTTTTCAAATTTTTAATCCTATAATCATTGTCGATAATGCCACTGTCAACCTTTTGAAAGATGTCAGTGTTAATTATAATGAAAATAATAATAAATATAGTAATAATGTTAGCACTGTTGTTGTTGTTTGTATTATTATTACCATTAATAATAGAAATGATCGTATTTATATTTTTTTAAAACCATTTTCTGCCTTAGATAGGGTTGTAAAAATGCTTTTATGTATTTAAATGATCTTAAAATTAAAATTTTATTTATCATTACAATATCACATTTTCATCTGAACGGTAAATAACAACATGAGTGCAATTGAAACATTGCACATGAGTGAACCAAGACTTGAATTGATATTATTGACACTTCACATTTGCAAAAATTAAAATTAAAAATAAGCACTTGGTATAAATATTTTCACTAATAATAAATGGGTTTTTTGTTGTGATTAGCTTCAATTTTATATGATAAATAAGATTTAAGAAGTTGATCATTTGAATTGTCACATAAAACAATAAAGAATATTTTTGGATGATACTTTACATTGAGTATTATTTTTTACTAGAAACAATATGAACAAATCTCAATTTTGTTTTAAGATGAATTTTAATTGCACTAGTAAAAAATTAATAATTAGAATGTTAACTGAGGATTCACAATTAGAACAGGTTAATTGCATTAATTTCAAATCACTTTTCATTCACAATTGAAAAACATTATCTCAATACGGTTTATGTTTTTGTACAAACTAACATGAAATTGAAAATTAGTTTTGCCAATTTTTTACTTACTAATTATTCAAATCAAATATGGTACATAGCAATGTAAAAAACAAACGAACATATTTTCGAATAAGCACGAGCAATAATAACACCACTAGTTTCGATTTCCTATTATTTGCAAAATAAAATTATTTAACATACAAAATCATACCAAAATCTGAAGCATGTAACTAAGTGCATAAAACTTGTCATATTAAGAAAGAAAGTATGAACAAGTCAAATATGATTTACAAGTAATGGCAAGTTAGGAGAGTATGTCAAATCTCAAAAGATTCCATGCCCGTAAAAAATGCTTAATGAGTAGAGTGCTTCAACAATTTGAATGTTTTCCCCCCAAACATTGGTAGGAAATAAAAATAAATAAACAAAATAATATTGCCATCGCTTAATTAATTTTATCTTCAATCATCATTATCATAAAGTAGCATATTGAGGATAAAAAAGAATAGAAGTAGATGGATCTTGAAATTTAACAGGTGATGCCGAAGTGGCAGAATACGAAAGCAGATTCATATGTGAAGAAAATATCGGCATTACTTGAGGCTGAAAATAAATTTCTAAAACTTAACAAAAAAAACTGCTAAAATTTACATATTTTTTTTTTAACATTGCAATGCAAAAAATCTGCATTCAGTACAATAAATGCAGGCATAAGTGCAAAACGTTAGTTTAACAAATGAAAATTTTTGAAAAACTTTTCTAGAATAGATCAATTTAAAAACAGTAATTTAAAATTTTTCCATTTTATTTCATTGAAATTTTATCAAAATCATATTTAGAAGTGAAATTAAATGATATTTATTTAGTATTTATTCTTTTGCTGCGATAATAAATATTATAAACAGCAAATTTCAAAATCTTTGATAACAAATAAGTTGTCTGATATATATGTGAAAAACATTATTGATGTTCTGATAAATTAAAATATGGTTTGAAGGCAAATTACTGTATTTTTAAAGGAAAATTACTGTTTGCTCATTTTGCAAACAAAATAACGATTTTTAATGAATGCTATGATGAAAAATAATAGACTAAAGAAATATGCTAAACTTTTGTTAAGAAAATGGCAATATTTTAAATTAATGTAATGGAGGAATTGTTTACAAAGGCAATCAAAACTCATCGGTGTAGTGAAAACTAATAGCTAATAATCTGAAATTTTTATTGAAATATAGAAGATTGGTTACTTTTCATAGTTGCTCTCATATTTTAATCATCATTGATAGTGATATTCACGTAATTTATTCACTCACTAATCAAAATGTTACAAATTTTAACATATTCGTTAATAATTAGTATGAAATGAAATAGAAAAAAAGTAGTGATAATTCAAAAATGCAATGAATTCATGGTAAAATAAATGATTGAACTATTTCGATATAAACTTGCTGAAAAAAAATTTGGAAATCTAGTATGGAAATTGTTTCCAAACCTGCTGTACTGGTGAATGAGGCAAAATTGCCATTGGAGTAATGTTTTGCACTAAGAGAGAGTTGGTACCGGTAAACGCAAAATTTTTTCGACAGCGTGCTCGTCGATTACTAAACCATGTCTAAAAATACAATCAATATTGATCAAAATTTCTAGAAATTTGACATCAAACTTGTTAATTCATATCTAAAGGCATTCTACTGTATTTATACATTATTATTAGTAGTAGTATTACTATTGCTCTTTAAATATTATTACTTTTTATTACAGTAAAATCCATGGTAACTTGAAAAAAATTCTACACTGATAGGCAGCTGGAATATATCTGATGCGCATAATTTAAATAAAATCTTTCATGCTAAAGTTAATTGATACTATATTTCTGAAAAATAACTGAATGACTAATAAGAAATGATTAAAAATAAAAATAAAAACAATAGTTTACTTGCCATAATTTTGTCTTCACTGAGATTTGTTTCAAGAGCGATTCGCTCTCGTTCGTCTTGATCCGGATAAGTATTCAGATTGAATGCCGCTTCAAGCACTTCAAGTTGTTTGCTACTGAAACTTGTCCTGTTTCGTCGTATTCGTCCATTTTTTAACGAATTTATATTTTCACATGATGGTATCTCTTTTTCACCGGTTCCTTCTCCTTCCGAAAGACTTGCTTCTGATGTTTCTGGACCATCATCTGAATCTATTTCATACTGAATGTTCCGTTTTTTTTTCTTCAGAATTTTGTACTTTACGAAATCCTTTTAAAAAATGTTTTTTCTTAATTAAAAAATTTATTAGAGAATGTATAAATTTTTCTCTTATTTTAGTAAATAAATATTTATTTACTAGAATTAGTAAATAAATATTTTATTTTTATTTTATTAATATAAATGTCAGAAGGAGAAAAAGGAATGAAATTCAAACGAATAAAGCACAGCAAAATGAAATCAAAGTTGATATTCATGATAAAATGGAAGAAAAAGGAAAGAAATGCCTTAGAAGTCAAATATGGCAATGATATAACTGCAGTATACCAAGCTACGGTAGCCAGATTAAATTTGTATTTCAATGTGGTAACGTGGAAGAGTGATCAAAGAAAGACCGAAGTGAATAAAGCAAACTTCTTCATCGAAGTGATAATTTTTATATGACAATTTAATCGGGGGAAAAGGCAATGAAAAGAAAAAAGTTTATAGTTTTTTAATTATCATCCATTTCGACCATATTTTTTGATTACTTTAATTACTTACTGTACTGTTGAGTTAATGATTTCTCTCATACAGGTAGAAAGTTGATTTAAGAGTAAGTAAACTATGTCTTTGATAGACAACAAAGATTACCAATAAAGATTAATAATGCAATATCTTTGTCTCAATCTGTTTTTAATTTTATCCTTATTTATTTTAAACATTTACCAGAAAATGATATTGAATAAAATTATTATACTAAAAGTGATAGTTTTAAAAGATTTGTTAATTCTTATACGCTAAGAATCGATATTAAAATTTACTTGCTGTAGTAAATGTAGCATTACTTTAAAATGTGAAAGTTGATTGTTTAGTAGCTTATTGGTGAAAAGCAAATGTGTAAAGGCATGGAATTAAATTTGTGAATCGAAGGTAGAAAATTTGATAATCTTGGAGTAATACTATTTTTATCAATAGAATGAAGCGGATATTAGTTGGAAAAAAAAGAAAAGGAGGATTACCACTGCAGTATTATAAATAAGATGATTAAAAAGCAATTGTCGCGTGCCAAAAAAGCACACCTCACTCTGAATACTTAATAAGATTAGATAAGGGATAAGGATAAGCAACGATATTCACACTTACTTCACTTACTTCAAAAGATATCAACACATTGCGCTTCTTAATGATTACATTTTTATTGCTTTGAACAGTTGCGACATTTTTTTTAATTCCTTCAGTGGTTAATAGCAACTTGTTGTTTATTCATATTCAGATTCATATTCAGATTCAGATTCAGATTCATATTCATATTCAGATTCATATTCAGATTCATATTCATATTCATATTCATATTCATATTAATATTCATATTCATATTTGTGCTATGATTCGCAAAATGTTCTTTCAATTACAATCTTAAGTCATAGTGCATATATCAAGTGTGTGCATGCGAATGCTCATTGCATTACTGCTAAAATTAATAATGAATTCCAAAAGTTCGTCGTTTCATTACTTGCAACTCTCATTGTAATTGTAAATATGACTTGGATAAGAAAATCATCTAAGACTTTGTTTCAAATACTGTGACAGGAAAAGTGAAAAAGTTAGAATATGCTGTGAGTAAGTACTTGAAATTGCAGCATCAATGATAGAAGGCATTGATTGAGTCAAAAAATACTAAAATGGTTATGAGGTGAAGAAAAGTTGCGTAATCTGCGATAAATTCCAAGCATTGACAATCATTTGTGACAAATGACTTATTGGGCAAGTAAAGGTAAAACTTGCGTTGATCGCACCAAAATGCCATCTCCTCATGCCAAAATAAATGCCAATGTGACAATCCGAAAAGTGATCCATTTTCCAGCAATTTTACAATGGATACAACAACTACTAGTACTACTGCTATCACTACTACTACTATACTACTGCTACCACTATTACTAGTAGTACTAATACTTTGATTGATGCTACTGCTAGATGTGATTACTTCCATAAATACTGCTATCACTAATATCATTATAATTAATTGATTAATCAATTAAGCGAGAGGAAAAAAATATTACCACAATGATATTACCTTGAAATGCACTCAAAAACAATGCAGTGCATAGTCTTAACGACAACTGGGACTAATTTATTACCTCATTAGATCAGCTGAATTTTCTTATCATCCTAAAATATCAAAAAAATTGTGTTGTCAAAAAAGATAAGAAAAAATGTCTCTCACTATATGAGAACATTTTGTGTGAAAATTCGCAAAATATTTGTACATAAATGTTTCATATGCTGCAATGCAATTTTATGCGCATTTTTCTACAATGTTCATGTCACTGCATTACTTTCTCAATTGATATTACTCAATGAGTGATAAATGATTCTTTTGGGTACTAGATTTGACATCAATTATAGTTGTACTACCAGTGCATTTGATTTAATGATTTATGATAGTACAAATATGTTTTTAAAAAAAATCGAGTTGATATAATTTAAAAATTATTACTGCATAAAGTCATATGCAATCATTACTTATTACTGCTCTTTCTAAACAACAGAAAATATTTAGCTATTTTTCAAACATACAGGTCAAATACATAAAACTATGAAAGCAAGCTGCAGAACGAAAAGTTTAACTAAGAATTGAAGCATTTTTTCTAATGATTACCATTTTCATCAACATTTAGGACTAATTTATTATGCTGATGAAATATATCCAGTAACGTAGTTAGGTATATATTCAAAGCTAGTGTGCTCAGTAATCTCTTGATTCTATATAATTGCTAATTTTTGATTGCATTCAAGGATATTCGATTAATTTCATATTCTTCACCAATAAATCTTTCTAAATCATCATATAATTGTAACTTATTTTATACTCCTTTTTCACGCAAAATGCGTAGCAAATTGCAAAATGATATTTGTAACAAGTTTATAAATGGGTTATTAAATCTCAATTTCAACGCGTTTTACACAGCAACTTCAACACAAACAATGTTGTACACACACTCAATTACTTTGTCACTTATCATAAACAAACCAAATTCCACCTTACCAGCTCACATCTGTTTCAAACTGCCAATCATCTCAATATTCCCAAAATGATACGATAAATCTTCGCTGAGAATGTCTTTAAATCATTTACTAATGTGTCATTCATTCTTATATTTATAATACGCTTTAAATTTACATGTCATTGATAACTTTAATGAAAGCTATAACAACCTAATAAAAATGTACTAAAGCATCACAAAAACTGATTAGCAATGATAAAAAAATGTGGTCAAGGGTGATTTCCCATTTGAGCTTAAGATTCAGTACACACTTTATACTTAATTTATTAGACCTGTAATAGGAAACAGATAATTTTATTGCATTAAAAAAAATTGTTTTTAAATCTGTTTGATGATAAAATTGAAATATGAGAAAAATTCAGGTAACAAACCACCATCTAGACCAAGGATATGCTCGATACTGTAGTTCAACGGGCTTTTTTTCGGTGTTTTGATATCTTTGCTGTTGGAACAATTAAGTTTTTTTGATCGAATATGTCTGAAACACCTTTAAAGTTCTGATTTAAAGTTTACAAAGAAAAGTAAAGAGGTAAATGAAGATATCATTGTTGTGAAAATAAAAGTTTTCAAAGCATTTCTGCTGGATGAGAATTCGCATTCACCTGTTGATGGAAGATACGGTAGGCGCATTTTCAGCTGAGCATATCTCTTGTTCAATAAGACAAGAGCGTAATTCACTAGCACAGAGGTTGGGCCGCTTTGCTTTTAGAGCTAAGATATGTTTTTCTACGGCTTGAATAGCAAGTCTAGATCGTGGATTGCCACCGATCTGAAACTTATTTCTTAATGCGTAATATTATTACTGTATTCACAGTAATGGTATACTAATCAGTGGTGACTTGTTGCAATATGATATTTTGAATTATATAAGTGATTGATATCCAATAAAAGCATCTGTAATAATAATAATAATAATAACCACTAAATTAATTAGTAACGGTCATGAAAATAACAATTATTTTTCAATACAATTTTTAGGTGATCTCAATGAAAGTGCCATATTCTGGAAAAGTCACAAAACAAGAACGCCTTATCAATCAATAGCTGGTATTTGAAGTAATTTTAACTAAGTCATTGGCTCTATAAAAAGCAAATTAATTATTCTTCATAAATTTTCAAGCAAAACTAGAAATATGCTTTTGATAATGACTGGCAGTATTGGTGATGGTGTTATTTGCAGCATATAAGTCAGACCAAGGGTGTGAAAAATTTGAATTTAACGATTCATTTAATATAAATGGAAATTTCTGAAAAATTGTCAATGCATACATTGATGACAACCAACTGTCAACTGACAAACTGAAAATCAGAACATTTCAGCAGTAATAGTGAGTGATTAATATACATACGTGCACATGCGTACATCTGCTTGGACACAAATGCTCAAAAATTTGATTTCTTGCATTGTGTTATTGTATTGCTGGTAATCAAGGCAGAAAACAAAAGCCAACACAAGAAGGAGCAACAAATGTTCTGAAGAATGGCGTATAAATCTCCCGATGGGGGGTACGAAATCCTACCTCAAACAAATTTCACCCCTAGACGAAAGCTGGTGAATTATTGAAGAAAATTTTGTAGGAAAAACATTGGTGTGCCATTGTGCACCATATGCTTTTTTTATACTGAATTCAACCTTGCCGGAGTTTTCTTTTTTTTAATTTTATTGAAGATAATGTATTTAATAATATCTGTAATTAAAAGTATATTCGATGCAAATAACTCATTTTTTAGAATGATATTATCAAGCAGTGATAAAATTAGTGACAATAAATTTGTGGTAATAGAGTTTACAATTAAAAAACCTACTTGTCCAGGTGATACAGAACCCGTTTCCGCGTATCGATTCAATATTTTAGACACAGCACCATGGGAGACACGTAACTGTCGACTGATATGGCAAGGCCTACAAGTTTTGAAACTTATCAAAAAAAACCATTACAAAATAGTTCATTCTCAATAAATGGAAGAAGCTATAATTAGTGAGGTTGTAGATTTATGCCTTTTTTAAATGCTTTTTTGTGACACGAAAATGATGTGTTCTAAAATAAATAACTAACTTAATTCCGCTGCTCGCCATTTCGATTATTTTAATCCTAATATGGTGTGGTAATGGCCGTCCATTAATAAAGACACCACCAAGTTGATTGATACGACCCTGAAAGTTCTATAGAATTCAAATTTCAATATTCATACTTATAAAATAAGTGAAGTTCAAACTTGCACTATACTAAACTATAACAGCTTCCTATGAAACAGTTTCCTATAACACTTTTAAGTATATTTAAAATCATTTGCTTATTAATAACATCGTTTCATGATAAGTAATTAAATAATTTCCAAATAAGTGCTTTCAAAAAATAATTTCGTTTTCAAAACTGTAAAAAAATCAAATGATTTAGCGATGTCATTCATAAAGCAAAAACAATGATGCTTATTAATAACATCGTTTCATGATAAGTAATTAAAATTATCGAACCTGTCCCATAATATTTGTAAAAGTAATAGTTTTATTAGTGTCACTCATGACCTTTGCAATAAAATTGATAAACCTGTAATGGAAGTACGTAAAAAATGCGAATTTAAAGTAGATCCATTCGGACATTACTGATTAAAAAACGGTTTTTTATTCAATAACCAAATGTATACAATAATTCAATCATTTGGATAGAACTTGATTAGTTATACTGTCAAGGCAATCAGTTAGAGAAACTAATATTTATTTATTCACTAGACATCAATGCTTTGATGAGAAACAATATCACTTTCATATAATTTTCATAATAAGATGATATCAACTTCAGTGTTAAAAACATGCACACAAATGGGCAACAAAATCAATCTTAATCAAAATCGATGAATAAATAGGTTTCCTACTTTATTTAAAAAAAGGAAGATTAGTAAAGATTTTGTGTTTTAAACTTTTTAGCAAAGTGTTGACTTTAATAAAAATTTGCTTAATCAATCAATGATTTCAGACATAAAATCAGTCGTGAATTTTTTTTAACCTGTAGAAAACTAAGATTTAAAAATCATAGTTGCATATTAATTGAAAGCTAATTCAAGCAAAATTACACAAAAAAGTAGACACGTAAATGAATGAAAAGGCATTTGACAAAAGGTAACAAAATGATAATATCAAAAATTCAGTCCATCCAATCGCTAGTCGAAGTTTTTAAAATCATAGTAGTAACAGTTTTCTCAGTGTGTTATTATACTATATTTTGCAGTTCTACTGCTTCTGATAATGATGACATTATCAATGATAACCATCAAATAGTATGAGTTAACTAGTCAAAATAAAATGGTGTGAGTGTGAAAGTGCTGTGACGAAAATGGTAGTCAGTGAGTTGTTCCGCTTATCTATCAATTGCACATTGAACCGATTGCTGATTGGCTAGTCACTATCGCTCCACCTTATTATTCCGCCCTTCATCAACCGATCAACCTCCATGAAATTACCGTTTCCTCAGAAGGATCCGCATTCAAACAACAAGACACAACAGCCTACTGATATCAATTAGTGTACTATATATTGATATCGAGTAGTATCACATTATTATCACTTTGAAAACTTGTCGATCTTTTCACTAACAAATGACTACTATCAACTTCTATCGCTTTTGTTTGCTTATTAACATCAGCACTTACTTGAATGGCGGCATTAATACTTTTTCTAAGTAGAAAATAATAAGCGGAACATTACTGAGACACTTTTATCAAATTTTTAACAGAAGTGATGAACATTCCATTTATCTATGGAAGCAACTTTTTAGCGATGTTATGATAAAGGGCCAAATACAATGGAAATATACTTCCAAAGCAAACTGGTTTTGAAGTTGAGTTTACTAAACTGATTGCATTAAATTATTATTTGTTTCATTCTGCAAAAAAATGAAGGGTGAGTTTTACGCTTTTCACACGCTTTCTACTCCATAAAAATTAATTCGTCAACTACAGTTGCAGTACTAAAAAGTAGTACGATGCAAAGATTTGGAGAATAAATGGAAAAAAGGATACAAATTATGAGGCTGAATATGGTGACGATGCTTGATATTTTAATTTAGCTAGAAGTAAAGCATAGAAATATTTATAAAAAGAGTTGCATTGTCTCACTGAAAAGCAAAGTTTATAATTTGGTACCAAGTTTGAGTCTAGGCTTAAGAATTTAAAGTTGCATTTGTGATAGATGTAACGGGAACATCAAGGTTATCTTTCATAAGAAGGTTTTGTTTTGGTTCAGCAATAACTTAAGAATAAACAGTTACTAGTGATCTCTACTGAGTTATTCAAACCATTTAATTATTTACTTATTTATTTATTGATTACAATCGATGCATTATAATTCATAAACATGTAAACTGCCCTTGATGTGATTTAAGTTTTTAAATAAGGCTTTATTTTGAACTCAAAATAGCTTTATAATACTTTGTTTTGCAAATGAGTGAAGACAATTACTTTTGCAATTTAGATACCAAGTAAAAAATTTAAAATTTGAATAATTTCTAGTTTTTTGAATCATAACATGTTTGCTATACCAAAAAATAAGCAATAATTCTATAAATTTTTTAATTACGCAATGTAAACAAATACTGGTGATCAGTACTCCACATTTATTTTTTTCCATTGCTTTTCTAGTTCTTTCCTGATGCAAAATTAAATTATACATCTAATTCGCCGACAATTGAAAACCATGAAGCGATTCATTTCAAAGAATGCAAACGAATTTCAAAGATTTTGCATACATATTACAAAATTATTTAATTTCCTGTTTGAATTGTAACTTTTATTTAATTAGAAACATATAGAAATGATACATTCAACTCACCTTGCCTTAAACATTTTTCGTTGCAAAACAGAAAATTTGTGTAGGTTGGTAAAAGAAATAAATATATATCAAGTAAAGTAATAACAACTAATGTCACTACTTCATTTCCTTCAATAAAATCAAATTTTTTTGATGATCTTTTAAAATTAGAAAAATATTAGACGGGAGATTACTTGTAAAGAAATCTTTACTTTACTTTTGTAATTTCAACGAATTAGAATATTTTTCTTCCATTTTAATAGATTTTATACGAAAACTATATTTTTGTGTAAACATTATCACTTTGATACATCAAACTAATAACACTTTCGAAGAGAATAGAAAAGTTACCATTATTGGGTTGCAGAGGTAATTAGATTAGTTTATATTGTGTTCACAAATGAAAGTAAAAAATTTTTCTTGTACAATCAGAAAATACTGCTTATGCCATAGGTAAGCAGTGCAATACTACTCAACATGTAATAATAAAAGTTACTTTTCGCATTTTAATTACTGTACATTGATAGTAGACATATAAACATCAGCAGAGTGACTAGTAAGCTCTAGTGAATTATTCAAATCATTTAATAATTTACTTATTTGCTTATTTATTTATTTATCCATAAGGCGCAATATGACACTAATTAAAGATGTGGAGGAAAAGTTTTGTGTTTGCGCCAAGATGATTTATCGCAGCCATTCAAGTCAGTTCTGTTATCTATCTGCCTACAATCAACGCTATCTTTTTTCTATACTTTGCTTCACTTTGATTGCACCGATAGTCGCAAATCCAATCCCAATATTACTACTACTCACTCATCTTCATGTTCCGCTAGTATTTTACCTGCGCATATAGTTCCAGTAATAAAAAGGAAAAAGAGCAGTACAAGGTCAAAGTTCACTCCGATAGGTTGTTAGACTTATTGAATGCACTTACAATCACTTATACATTATTTCAAAGATTATATTGTTATCTTGAAAATGGTAAGAGAGTGGCAGCATATATGTAAAGATCTTTTTACTGTAATTTAAGAAAATATTCTTCATTTTCATATTTTAATTTTAATTTTGATTTCTCCATAATTATTGTCAAAACGATGACAAGACAAATTAATGCAAAACCAGATTTCAGATTTCAAAAGGAGAAAATTATTATCATAAAAGATTATACTAGAACAAAATAAAATCATTACTTTCATTACACTACTGGAAACAGGTTTTCAGTGCACTGCTAAAAATGCTAAATTTTTAGCTTTAATTTAGTAAATTTGAATTAACCTCAAGTTAATATATTTCACATTTGTATAAGCATTTTCGCATACCAAAATGATCTTTGAAGTTTAGTTGCGCAATATAAAAACCTGGAAATTACTTAAATTTACCAGTTCCTAAATTGTTTCAAATAATGTTTACTGAACACCCAAATCTACTTTTTCAACTACTTTACTCAATGCGGCTTCCAAAAAATGACAACTAACAATTTGTTCAAGTTGCATTTGAACATTATCATATGTATAATGCTTTACTACTACTTACATTTAAAAAACAATATCCCCTTACCATATCAAAGTAGGCAGAAGCATATTTCTCAGAAGTCTCACTGATTAACTAATATCCAAACAATCAATAAGTCTGCACCGATCATTTATTACCTTATTTTATGCCAACATTAGAAAATAATGCGGGATTTGAGTACAAATGTTCTTGACATTTTCCATCCATTCCAATGATTACATCATTAAAGAAAGATGAAATTGTGAACTTATTGTTGCAACAATATGTAATTTATGTTACAGTATATTACGCTACGTCCGAGTTTCCAGATCTACTCGCACTTTGCTCAATCATTGATTTAATATATCTCCAACCAGTCTACTGAATGACCGGGATGGAAAATTACTTCACAAAAGTACCCCTACTTGAACTTATCCTTACCATGCCAAATGCTACGAATTTTCACACCCAGTGAAGTACACATTTGATGATTGAAGACATTTTCAAATAAATTCATATGAGCATTCAATTGTTTGTTTTTTGTGTTGGAGTAACAATGCAGAAACATCCAGCAGGTAAAGATAACAAACACACAGATATTTCTCCAGACTGCTGATATACCTTCTATTACTGTCACTCCTTATCTTATCAACATTTCACTTATAGGAGACTCTCAATCCGTTACAAAGCAACCGCAAAAAAAGTCAACAGAACCTACAGATACATCATATTCAAATTCAGTTCTTCTACCCAAATTAAGATCACGCCAAATCAAATGGAGGTACAAGGAACGATCTTCTGTCTCTTTTACTGTAACCAGTAAAATTTTTCCATGTTACTCAACAAATCTTATTGACTTCAGCGAAAATTGACAAGAGAGCCACAGACAAAGATTATATGTATATTAAGTGATTTTCGAGCCTCTACATTAAAAATATTTTTCGCTACATTTACTTTGGTTTCACATATGTATACTTCAAACACTGCAATTCATCTGCAATGCCATCTTTCTCAAAAAATGTTATTAATATTGAGAACAAAATAACTACAAAACTACAGAATAAATTCATATTAAAACCATATTTTGAAATCTTACGCATAAAAACAACGCATATACATGAAACATTTCGAAATGAACCACCCACTCATAAAATCATAAGCTTGACATTCCGAATTGCAAACCTCGCAAAATGTACTCACCAGAAATTTTAGAAATTAAAATCACATATGAGTTTCCAAAAAAATTTTTTTAAACTTAATCGAAAAAATTCTCATTGCAGACTCGTTCATTCAAGGCAACTCAAAATATCACTCTGAAAACATAACAATTAATTAAGCATGGTATGATCTGTGAAAATATTCCTCCGTTGTTCTTCAACTTTTCGCATCCAGCGATTCTTTTCTGCTTCTACTCGACCCAAAACATTGTCGGCAACTGAATTCAATAAATGATAATTTAATAATCAAAAGTTGAAATGAAAATACTATTGCCCTTGTTTTGATAAAAGGTGAAATCATGTTTAAAGAGGAAAATATTTAATAAAGGCTCAGCAACAAAAATTTGGGACCCATGCAGCTCAACAGATTCCTCATGAATTCATTATCTTGAGCTGAAGTTCATGTAAAGATCATGTTTCAAACTAAGAAATTCATAAAAAATTACTATTTCGAGACCGCATAGTGAATGATGGCGAAGTATCAGCAAATGGTTCAGTTGATACAGTTCGTGCAAATATATTATCTTCCATCTGCAATAAAAATGAATTTATGACAAATTATTGACTACAAACTTTTCACATCTTTCAGATATTTTAATGAGATTGACTGAGTTGCAAATAATTCGGAATATCTAGCAAAAAATTATCTACCTCATCATTTTGTTGCCTATATGGCACTGTATGCCGCTGTTTTCGCAACACTGGATCCAAGCATACTAAGAAAAGCATGTAAGTGATGAGGACGAAGACTACACAAATAACAAATATGACAACAACCTAAAATGAATCAGATTATGTCAATTCTATTAAATAATGAAAATCACAATAGCTATGGATTAAAATAGCAGCTAACCACAAATAAAAGATATGATCTGATTAATTCTAAAATCCAATGATACCTTCAATAATATAGTGTTTCTCGATTCATGCTTGCAATCACAGTTCGCTAAAAATGCATCCAAATGCGCTGTATCTACAATTTTCAAGACGTTTGGCTTCACGACTGTTTGCGGATTGCTGCAAAATCAAAACTGAACCCAGATGCAAATAGATATATAATAAAATTTGAAAGATTTCAAGATACTAAATTCATATCATTATTTTCATCACCTCAAAGAGTAATTATTCCCCAACGAAATCATTCACATCTTCTGAAACAGTATAAACCAATTCTATAACAATTAAGGATTGAACAGTTCAATAATAACACAAAGAAGCTGAAAAAATTAAAAAACTGCTATACCATATTAGACCATTTACATTTGACTTCGTATAATATCGTCGTTCATCATCCAACGTATGATTTCCAGATGAAAAATATTTAGTAGAAGGACAAACACAACGACAACGCGCATCTTCAAAATTTCCCTACAATTTCGTCACATTAAATTGTACTTCTTAACTCTGAGAGAATAAAGCTTTGGCCCTCAAAAAAAATATCTTAAAAGAAAACTAGTAATTTTCACTTACAGCAATTAACTTTTAAAAGAACTGAGCACATTGGTATTATATCACAATAAATTTAAGAAAGTTTAGCAAATTTCTGAAAAATTCCTAAGCAATTTTAATGCCTACAAAATCCAAAAGCTGACATCAACAATACGAAGAAACAGGAAGAAAACCACTATCGCTGATAAAATAGATGAAGACGCCATACAGTAGCGAACGCTTTTAGATATTATTGATGAAACTTCTAAAAATGTCCATTCCAGAAATAGTGCAATCAGCTGCGAATCCCAGCGAGTATATAAGACTTTGAAAAAAAATAGACATATATCATATTCTAATAGACCGAATTTCAGACAAAATAACGTTGAAATTGAGAGAACTGCTTAAGGTGGAAATGGTAGCAGATACTTTGAGAAACTATTTAGGTTACAAAGAAAAGCTTAAAATTCTAAAGTACACAACTGTTATACACTAACAAAGTTAACTACTATCTTAATAATAAATTAATAATCAAAAACAATCAACATGAAAGACAATAATACATCTTGATCATTGAAGAAAATTGCTTATGTGAAACAAACCAAACAAGAAAATTATTCATCGTCGCATAAAGTGTAAATGTGAAAACTAGCGTCTTTCTTCATTTTAAATATTTAAATGACAGAGAACTAATAATTATCGTTCATTTGCGTATTTCTTTCCATTTTACGTAAAAAAGCATTTTCCTGAAAAAATATTACTTTTTACATATTTTGAGGAGATAAGTGGTTGACAGTGAATACAGTGGAACTAATTCAGCAGATTTTTCCATCGTTTCCTTCTTGATCATTTGGGAGATGGACTGCGAAATTTCTTTAGATTCAGATCAAATAGAGAACGAAGATGATGTAATTTGATAATTATCAGCATTCTTAGTATTAGAAAAAAGTTTGCCCTGATATTTTTTAAATATCTAATGCAAATTGGAAATACACTTTTTATAAATAAATAAATAAACAAATAAATTAATTAATTAATTATAACAAATAAATAAATAAATTTTTATAGATATATAAAAATGCAATAAAGCACAAAAATTCCCTTACTGCATTTCAAGTGAATGAATAAATGGTTTTTAGATCCATATAATAATACCGGAAAATATAAGTGCGCTTATAAATGGGAGCGTAATCGAATCCCCATTCAATAACAAAAAACAGCTGATGGACTTTCTTGATGTAATTTTTTTTAATTTCCAATTGATAAGGGATAAAATTGAAATGCTAGTGAGGAGGAATATAATTTAATTGAGAAAAAAAGGCTTTGAAGTGAAATATTCAAAATTGCTAATGGACAGAGAAAAGAAATGCATGCCATAAGCGGAACTGTATTTTGTTCTGTAATTTCAATTTGAGATTGTTCAAAGAAATTACTCGCATTGGATTTTCAATGACTCATCAAATGTTTATGAATCACTTGAACATGAATGGGAGATTTTGATATTAACAAGACCTATGGTTTTTTTTTTCGAGAATTTGCGTTAATTATATATCATAGAAATGAACTGATAGGCTCTCTCTGACTGATAGGCTCTCTCTGATACCAAATAACATACTTGGATGAGAAGAAACATAGCAGTATTCAAAGAAACATTATTAGATCAAATCTTTGCTCTGCAATTGAGCATTTGATTAATTTAGGCAGAACAATTATGATGTAAGTTTATAATTAATTACTAAAGTTCAAATTTTTGAGTATACTAACCATTTTTGGATTGCTTTGGTTCACATATTTGAAAAACCGGACAAGCTGTTGTAAAAATCACGTATTAGTTTCTTTTGTTCAAAATACTTGCACATAAATCCGTGATAAAGGAATAGAGGGGAAAAAGAGTTGCTCGTTTACTTGCAACTTCAGCTTGAGCTGTGCATGAAAAAAGACTGTATTTTTATAGCAAGCTATATTTTCTATATACTTTCTAAATTCTAAAATGATTTATGTTTGTATTAAAAGTGCTAATTTACTTTTTTCATTACATTCTACCAAATTTCCGTTAAAATTTTAGATGCCAAAATCATTTCCAGATAGTAAATAATTTATCAGCACTTAGCTCTATTCTAATTGTAATGTTCGCGATGATAACTATTTTTTTATTCATCATAAGTATTTATCAAATTATAACATGTGGAAAATTATGTTATTTTTTTCGTAAAAAGGAAACAGGCGATATTCAGGTTGTTTTATTTTTTGCCAGTAAGAAGCAAAATTTTAAACAATTCTTACAAAATTAATTTTTTCATCAATGGATGTTGTGATCTTAAGAGTTGTTTACTATTTTTTATAATAATTAATAATTTGAGTGAAACAATTTTAAAAAAAATTTTGTCAAAGCTGAAGATTAAATTTCAACTTTCATTAATTTTCATTGCCGTCTATCAATAAAATCTTTTTTTTTTGCTGCTTAAATTGATACTAAAAATGAATTACTGTAAGATTTTCAATTTTAGTCTCTCATAAATGATATGAGAATTCTTCAATCTTTACACCTTACTGGATCTGGAGAAAACTATTCACTTCAAAATTATAAACAGGTCAAACAGAGTGTTTTTTAACAACTTTATTTCATCAACCAATTTTTTTTTAAAAAAAGCGCTAATTTATTTGCATTACTTTGTAAAAAATGATCAATGCAAAGTAATTTGAATACAAATTTTATTATACTTCAAAATATTTCAGACGCTACAAAATTTATCTAAATACTTTGCCACGCAACAACCAAACGAAATGTACGAGTTGTTTCCAAATGATTTCCCTGCACTTGATGACTGCAGTAGCAAAATGGTATCTGAAAATGAACGATGGAAATATGTGCGTGAAGGTGATCGACCAGAAGAACGCATAGAATTACTTTCACAGTCATTCAACTCGATATGAAAAAAACTAAGAAAAAGACGACAGAAAGCAAAAGTTATAATGATATCTCAAATTTAATTACTTCTTATTTAAGTGATATTATTTTTCAACAGAATATTGTTACATTGAATTAGAAAACAAAAATTACAAAATGACACATTTTGTTGTTAGTATATAGTTGATGGATGATTCGAGACTTCTTGAATTTTGTAAAAACTATTTTTTGTATTTAAGAATGTCATAATAAAAAATAGTTTTTTTAAATAATCTCTATTTTTTTTATTACGTAAATGTTTTCATATAATTTATAATTAATAAAAAATAAAAAATAAGGCACCTAACTACGATATTTATCAGTTCGTAAACAAAAGGCAATACACCTTCACTTCATTAACTGACAATAATTGACAAACACTTAATTTGACAAACGTTTTATTTCTTTGCATGGCAAAAATGAATTAATATTTTTCTTGTGGTGATCATAAAAGCAGATGAATATTTAACACAAAGTATTATATGGTATTAAACTCTAATGCATCATGAAGATGAGTGAAAAAATATTCTTAATAACACTAATATAGACATTAGTAACCAGTCATCTGCAAATTAATATCTTAACCAATCGGAATAAACCTTTAAAACTATAAAATCATTTATTTTTAGACTTTAAAGAACTGTGGATTTACTGAAGAAAATTTTAAATTTGTTTGTTATAAATAACCCATGCCGTTGACGTCAATCAACTGCATACGTGTTGTCAATAATATCAATTTTACATCACTTATTCACTTGAAAATAATTGAAAAACGTCACCCTTCATGTTTTAAATTAAAAGAATACATGCCTAAAATAATGAATGCGGATTTGAATTCAACAACAAAATTTGCTAAAGAAACAATTTTATTACGTTTAAGCTTGAAAAATCAAGTACAGAAAATGGAATTCGAATTTGTAACTTTATGACTTTTAAAACTTGCTTTGCCCGTAAAATTAATATTTATCTGCAACAATAACAAAAAACAATATTTATCTTTTTATTTTTATATAATGATAGAAAATACAAAATAAATATTGAAAAATGTAATGGAATGACTGTATTTTTAATTATCATCGATTAGTTGAACTTATAGCATAGAAAATTATTATGCAACCATTCAATTATTCAGGAAAAAAAACTGAAAAATTGTATCAGAAAAATTAATCTTATAATGAAAGGCTTAGAATTTATGAATGCGCTGTGACTACTTCCTTGCCACTACCACCAATGAACAGAATTCGTTGAAGATTATGCGTTAGTGCATTAACATAATTTATGTAGTGAGAGATTATTGTATTTTTTTCTGTCGATGGACGCGGAAGGTTTAGAAGAACTAATTGTGACTGATATGAATTTTCTACGATTACATCATTAAAACGCTTAATGGTATTCAGATGGATCTGCAAATTTATTCATGAAAATTTAGTTGGTTAAGCAATTGATTGAAATCAATCACTATTTTGATTGATATTCCATTTTGAGTACATTTATTTTATTCTATACAAAATTTTTATTTCTACAAATTGATATAAAAATGATTAAATTTTTAATTTTTACGCAACTTTATGACTAAAGTGAGAAATGTTACACAAAGTAAAATGAATAGATATTTTTTTAAATTATTTTCGCTATTTTCCAAAAATATTTTCAATACTTTTTCAATGATTTTTGATTATGTAAATGACTTTATTGTGATTTCATCTTCCATTTCAATTATAAAAAGCAACCATAATTTTTAATTGTGAATTTTGTTGTGCTCACCTTTTTTTGTCCATTTTGATCAAGTTCGTCATCTATCACAAAGGAGTCCATTAAAGTAGAAAACATTGTATGTCTAAATACTTGTTTCTATTAATCCCCAACTTCAAACTAAGCATTAATTGACGTTTGAAATAAACTTACTGAGTTGATGTTGACGTGACCTGAGTGAGCATCGTATCGTTTTCAACAATGCTACCTGGTATTTCATTTTATAAATTTTATAAATATATTTATAAAACTTTACATTTTTAAGCTAACTATTTATCTTAAATCTTATCTAATAAAAAAGAGTGTAACAAAAAAATTCGATAATTATTATAAAACTTGTCAATACAAGCCCTTTAGTATTAGATTTAGTCAAATTATTAATAAAATAATTAAATCAATAACTAGCACATAAATAAATAAATAAATAAAGAGAAGTATGCAAATAAAACGATAATTAATTATTTAAAAAGGATGTAAATAAGTAAAAGAATAATCTTCTCAAGCATTTCTTCTTGCAGAAAAAACGAACCCTCAGTATATTTTTTTTCGCTTTCACTGCTTAGTGACTCCTTGGCGCTCTCCTGAAAATGGCTCCAACTTTAGTACTATACAAAATTCAGTTCAGTCTTTTTTATGTGATTACTTTTTTAATGCTCGTTCCAATTTATTTTTCAAAATTTCTTAAGTTTAAATACTTGTCTATGCAATCCTTAATTATCCTTGATTTTATTTTCTCATAAAGATTTTGATACAACCAAGTTAATGGAATTTAAAATTTTAGTCCCTTGTTTGTTTGTTTGATTGTTTTTTTTTGCTCAAAATATAATACTATTGGTAATATATTATTATTATATATTATTAAAAACCACATTTTTGTTTGTGAAAGAAGCATTTAAATGTAAAGCCAAGAATATCAAACTCAATTGAATTAATACAAACTATCGTTAAAGCTGAAAGATCGATTTGATTGGAAGAAAATTTGAGGATTTCATTAGCATCTGTTGGAACATCCACTATCTGAAAATTCAGAGAACATGATGAATAGTCAATATTTTAATATATTTAATAAGATTATATGGTAAAAAACTCAAAAACTGTTCAAATTTGATAACAATTTCAAAAAACTATTCACTCTGCCAAGTCAAAACATTACAGATTTTTATATTAAAAATTGCGCAAGACTTACATAAACTGCTGCATCTATGCGTAACATATAAATATATTTTTGCAGCATTTCTTTCAAATCAGTACTTTTCTCAGGTATTTCTGGTGTTGCAAATATTCTTAATTCACAGCCTCGCCATACCTGTCATTTGCTAATGCTTACAATTTTTTAATTACAATAACCATGTATATCTTGCTAAAAATAAATATGCATAATTATGAAAGCATTGCAACGTCTTACAATTTTTTTGTACAAAAAAAACAAGGAAATTATGGTTGACTTGGACAACATTCATCATAAACTTACTAATTTTAAGCAATAATATTTATTTCAAGCTGAATTACCATGCTTGCTGCTGCTATATTTGCCCTATCAGTTGACTACCTAATTCAAGAAAAAATAACAAACAAAAACTGAATATAAAGACTGGCAAACTTAATACTTTATGCTGTTTTAGAAGGAATGCGACCAACATTAGAAGTCCACCATCGTGTGAAATCCACCAGATATCAATGCAACCGGTAAGTCGATCGTTTGACGATAATGGAAATGCTGTTATACCTTTTGTTAACATAATACATTCATCATTAGCAACAGCTTCAATTAGCTCTACTGAAAATTCGTTATACACATTATTATTATTGTTATTACTTACATACAACTGTTTTACCACTCATTTAATGCTTTATCCTCTCTTGAAATTATTATTGCTTTTCTTTATGTTTTTAATTTGGTTAATAAATGGAAATCCTTTTGCTTCATACAATTTGATTCACCTGCAAAAATTTCATTTTCTTCTGGTCTTTCGGGCCAATTTATCAAAACAGTATTGGGTTTTAGACCACCAATACCGATACTTTGAAAAAGTGTTGTAATACAGCCATCAATCTGGAATTTACATGCAAAATTAATGCTGATAATTATGCTAATAAATTTTTAGATTTATAATCTATAGAGATTCCATAATTAAATCAGCCAATACCAAATAATTCATTTACTGAATCAAATTTAACATCATTTCTTATTTTGTTTGCAGAATAAAATTTAATTACTGACCTGATTTTCATCAAAAAGTAACGTTTTGCCAAAACCACGTAGATGAACCTGTAGCATATCACGCTGAATTCGCTCTTTCACCTGAAAATAAAAGCCTTTTGGTCCCAAAGTTCCTCTTATAGTAGGATTTCCAAGTGAATTCGCTTGATGTCACCTCTTCAGCTTTTTGCCGATCACTGCGATTTGAAACTGAGCCTTTAATGAGTGCCACTACAATAGCTAAGCCTCGTCCTGCTTTTAACTGACCAGCCAAATTGATTAAGTTTACATATCGCATATCAATAATATCTTTCGACCACGCTCCATACATAAGAACAAGCAACTGAGGACTTAAACAATAAATAAATGATTAATTAATTGTACAAGATGTAATTCCACAATATAAATTATACAATGTACTAAAGTTATTCATCTTTTTCAAATATTTTGCTCAAACGAATTAAATGATGTGGTCAGTGTTTGGTCACCAAATTTTTTGCTCAATTTACAAAGTTTTTTAGTCTGTAATGATAATTTGTCAACTTTTTTCTCACCGCCAATTTTTAGGGTGTGGATCTTTATCTTCAACTTTTAGTAAGCTGTACTGTGCGGTCGATAGAGCCAAACCTCTTATTCCATCTCCCCACTCTTTTTTAGTTCTGAAATTTTTAAATCGTATTTTAGTGAATGAATTTTTGAAATTCACGAATATTTATACATTTTATTTTTTTTTTTTCATTTAGCAAATAGACTAATAATGGTTAATGAATTACTGAGCTATTTCTGACATTTATTTTGCATAAAATTCGATAGTTTACCATCACTTATTATTTATTATGTTTCAATGTAAGCAAATTGTACGTACCCTTTCCATTCAACATATTTGTAAATAATAAATGTTTGAATGATTGAAAGTATTGCATACTGCCAGCGAGATGCAAACATTATAAAAAAACATAGGCCTGCACCTGTTAATGATAACGACCTAAAATAATCTATACCAAAATTTTGAATATTAATTCAAAAGCATGAAATTTTTGCTCAGCAAACAATTCCTATCTTAGTATTGCGATACATTACCATTTTATAAGCTAGTAAAAATAACTGCTAATTAATGCAGTAATAAAAAAAAAATACTTCAATCATTAATACCTTCACAAAGTACGAGTTTTGTGGAAAAAGTATTCATGAATCAAAAAAATGATAGGCGAAGTTTTTATAAGTAAGAATTTCTCATGGTTTTCATTTAAACATACTATATAATACCAATGGTAATAACGGAATCGCGGTCGCCAATTGGGAACTTTGAGCAGTGAATGCAAGGCAGATATCAAATTTACAAATGCATAACACATCAAAAAAAAAAAATCCAACACTTCGGCTATTTTATCAACAGCACCGAGTAGAATAGCAAATTCTGCTATGAATGCTGTGATCAATAGACTGAAAAGTTTTTTTAATCAATCTTTCTAGCAAAGTATTCTGATTCGAAAAGGTATATTATCATTTCTTGCCAAACTTGAAGTCATCTATAATTAATTATTTTTTCAAGTAACTTAAACATTTTATGTAAATTTTCATCATTCTGATATTATTTTTAATTTTATAGTAATAAAGCAAAAAAGTTAAGGCATAAATACAAAGAAATAAATTTTTAAATCTTATTTCATATAACTTCTTACCCAAGGAATGGTTCATTACTTTTAGTAACTTTAGCAAATGGTGCTAAAAGTGGAATAACATCATCTTTAGCAATTGACTGCAATAAACGTGGAGCACCTGAAGTACAGCATGAAAACACTCACTAATGTCATACCATATTTTTTAACTTCCCTTAATGAATATATAAAAATTAATTACTTATTTAAATATTGCAATATTGCAAAAACAAGTAAAAATTACTATACTTAATAATTTTCATTCATTTTATAAATATTTTCCTTTTTTGGTTCATAACTTAGAAACATACTGCACAAACATTGCAGTGCCGCACCAAAAGTAGATAAGAATGAACCAATAATAACAACCCATGGAGAAGGCCAAGATAATAATGCGACAATCATAGAACTGTCAAGACTTCGTCCGAATCTCAATTAATGCATATTTAGCATAATTTTATATTGTTCAGTTAAAAATTTAGATATTTAACGATCATTTCTCTTTTTTAAAATAAATTATTATATGAACGGAAATCAGAAGCATTGTAAATTAGGTAAATAAACGATAAATCAAGCAGTTCATTCAAAAAAAAACTATTTTAAATGAGCAAATGATAATAACTTGTCACGCAAAACTGGTCCTGTAATGGAAGCACCAAAGAGTAATGCTAGTGCATAATAAATAGTTGAGGTAGTTAGGGTTGCTGCGATGGTTCCATATGGAATTGATCGTTGGGGATCTTTAAGATCACCTAAAATTTTACTTACTATTTCATTTTGGAGAAAAAAATTGCAATCAAAATATTTCATCAAATTTTATTAATAAGTTAGATTGGTGAAACTAATTATTTTGCAATAAAACAGTAATTACTTGTTGCAATGTTTATAAGTATGTCCAAAAAAGAAAGGAAAAAGTGAACAAAAGACAAAAATTACAGAAATAAAATATAAAAATGCAATACATAGTAAAAAATAGCATAAGATAATCTTTTATTAATAATGTATGCTAACAGAACAACAAAAAATTTACTCCCAATTAACATTGTTGAATTGAAAGATTAAACTAAACGTGAATTAACTGCTGAAAAATAACTTGCTAATAAGAATGATGTATTTAATTATGCAAATTATTTAGAGAAATAAACAAGCTTGGTACAGTTACCGAATTGGTTTTTAAAAAAAATAGAATTTCTGAATCAAATAAAATACAAGTAATACTATTGAAAGCAAATATACATATGAGTACTAAATAAAGCAACAAACCACTCATATTTGTTCCAGTCATTATACCAGTAACAGCTGGGAAGTAGATGGCCAGTAAAATAAAGAAACTTGTTCGAAAATCTTGAGAAACTTCTAATCCGGCATCATCAGCCGCTACTCCTGGATACGATTCTCCTGCTTCCATGTACATTCGTTTCAAATTATCTAATTCATATACATATTACAACTTTTATAAAAAATTTACTGAACAGGAATGATGCAAAAAAAGTAAATGATAATACAGAAGTAATTATTTTAAAACTATGAATACAATTAGAGCTTTATTTGTTTTTGAGCTTTCCTTCAAAATGTAGATTATTCTCGACATCAATTGAGATATCTCAGACATCTCATTTCTGTTAATAACTTTCTAGACATCTTAATTTTTTTCACAACTGAGTCAGAAATTTTATGAATTTAATGCCTACTAATTTGTTTTGAAATAGGATTAACATCAACAGAAATGATTTATCAACTTAAGGAATAAAAAAAGATGTTATGTATGGATATAATACTGTTATTTTTGATCATATATCAAAAGTAAAACAATGTTTACTGTAAAAATTTTCTGCATTGATTCCCGGAAAAGCATTTGTGCATTTTAACATAGATGCAGTAAAATGAGTACAAAAGGACGCTGTTGTACGATTGCAGAAATCATCTGATATACTGTAAGATTCAATTACAGAACTAGTAAAAAGGTGTAATGCTCAAAATAAAAAGCAAACGAATTTAAGTTTGATATATTTTTAATAAAACTTTAAAAATGATATATAATTAAAGTGTACTCTTCAGATTTGACGCATCTTTTGCAAAGTGCTGACAAATCCGTGCCATGTGGAAAAAAGATTCGAGATTGAAGCAGTTGTTCATTAAGCATACATACGCTAAAAAACTAGCAATGCTTTTTATTAGCGAATTTGAAGGAAAACATTATCAAAGATAGAAATTTAGCTAGTAGCTTCAATTAAATAAGAGCTCTGAAGAATTCAGACGTCAAAATTCAGTACTTTTAAGAATTCTGATGTCAAAAAGTTATTTATTTGATCAAAACAAATTTTAAATACAATACTTACGTTTTTGCATTGCTTCATTTACAAAGTTTGATAAATTAAAATTATATTAAATTTTCAATGCTGATTTTATTACATGAATTGTATGTTGCTAAAACTTCAACAAAGTATTGAATTTTATGTAATAATAAAATACTTGCACATTTTAAAATACTTTTTAACGCAACTTAAAACTGTGTTTGCTATAAAATAAGTAATACCATAAAAATTGCGTTTTTTCCAATCAACACTTTCTTGTATTTCATTATTCTAATTATTTTAATACATAATTATTAAATTAATGCCATACAGCAACAATATTTTCTGACATTACTATTGAATAACTCTATGATAATGTGAAGTAAAGAAATTGCAATTATTTTATGTTTATTTATGTATTAAAATTTAATGAATACATACTGTTGACCATTTTGATAAATAGCTTTTTCTACACCCCCAGCAAAACAAGCCATAATTGAGATAATTACTGCAAATAGGGATATCTGCAAATTAAATTTATAATGTGCAATTAAGTAAAACTGAACAGTATTTCCAGTTCTTTCTATTTAACACCACAATACTTTTAGTTGAGTAAAACTTTTGCATAAATTTTACTTTCATAATTCAACACAGCTTTCAAATACCAAACAGCACAAAATAAATTATATTATTTTGAAAAAAAAAAATTTATTCAAAATATAATATTCATCATAAATACAAGCAAAAACGCACTGGTGCGAGAAGTTGCACGAAACGAACACCCATAGCGACTATCATTACTTCAAGTAAAAGAAATGCTGAACCGTAAATACGATAATTATGAGACATCATTCCCCATAAACCTTGAAATTTCAACAAAACTAGAACTAAACTGTAAAAGTTTAAGTTGTAGAAAACTGAAAAAATTAGCTGCGAAACAATGTAAGACTTGAATTTCAGTCAGATATGAAAAATCAAACCAGTATCGCTGTGTACTTCATTGCCACCAATAGTTAACGATGGAAAGATGTAAAGCTGAAAGAATTTATAATATTTAACTTAAATACTTTGCTCACAATATAACAGAAAGTAAATGAAAATAGTTCAGATGAATTCGGCATAATGCAAATTTAATAAGTAAAATAGTTTTGAATTTTGCAATCGGTAAAATTTGGCATAAAAAGTCAAAAACATTACATATATTCTTTACTCATAATATGACAAAAAATTGTTTAGTCATTTTAGATCTAATTATCGACTGTGTAACAAAAATCTCTTAATATAGGATTGATATCTATTGTATTACTGTCATCAAATAATAAGATATCATTTGGTTGAAGGCGACAAAAATTTAATAGAATAATTAAAAGTAGAAAAGTAAAATTGCTAAATGAATATTATTCTTACCAACATTACTTCAACTCCACCAACCAAATACATGGAGGCAGCTACCGTATTTGCTAAATAAAACAAAATACCCACAGCACTTCCAAATTCTGCTCCCAAATTTCTTGAAATCATAAAATAAACTCCGCCACCTTCAACTATACCATTTGTTGCGACTGCAGAAAGCGAAATACTTGTCAACAATGTCTAAAATTGGAAATAACTATGACACATATTAAGGAATAACAAAAGTGATCATTACGTGACTTATCCTCCATGAATCATCAATTTGGACAGTAAACAAACGTGTGTTTAAATTAACATATTACTATTTTCTCGTTATTGGCTTCAAATAGTACTCTTTTTGTTGCTTTGATTAGTCAATGTCATCAAAATTTGAATAGTTAGTATGCTCACTTTAAATTAACTTACACACAAACAGCAAAGAAACAACAAAATCATTGTATCAATAATGCCTGCAATGCCAACGACCCATGCAAGTCGAATAAACATAGTTACACCGAGAATGTGCTGGATAGTCGGTAAATATACACCCAGCATGACCCCCAAATTAGCCTAAGAATATGAAATCAAATTAATTAATTAATTAATTAATTAATTAATTAATTAAGTAATTAATTAAATGATAATATTTGCAAGATAACTCATATCAAGTTTAATAAGATTTTTGAAAATTTGCGATGAATCCTAGCTTAAGTAATTTTGTCATTAAAAGAAATAATAAAATGACTTGGATTCAGTCTTTTTTTTTGTATAATTTAATATTTGCAACTATATGTAATCAATATTAAATGCTAAAAAATTTCTCACTTTTTTTACTTCAGTTAAGTTTTTAGGAGTTTTCTTAGTTGTTTTGTAAGTATTAATGAAATGAATAAGTCCAGCGGGTTCTTCCTTACCATCCGAACCTGCAACATTGCTTCTCAAGTAATTCAAAAAAATTTCTTTGATTTGGCAAAAATTATTTTAATAATTGAAAAAAAGTGACATATATAGTCCAAAACCAGTATAACATTTGTCAACATACCTTTATTCAATATGAAATTTGATGCTAAGTTTGTCTCTGTGCTATTAATTGATTTGTCTAAATTGTCATCAAAACCATAACTTCTCAAAATTATAGAATCATTGCTATCAACCATTTTTTCATTCTGCTTCGGCTTCAAATCCATCTAGAACTCTTCAGTGTCTTTGCAAAATTTGAATGAAATCATTACTGATTGATAAATTTGACTATTTCAATTTGATTATTTGATTATTTCAAAGTTTGAAAATTATAGTAATTTTCAAACTTTATAGACTATACAAAAAGTTTTTCTAGAAAACTGATGACATTATGTATCGTTTAATGAGATGTAATTTTATAGATTGTAACAGAGCCAGTATAACAACAAAATTTTTTTTTTCTAACAATTTTTTGCGAAAATCGTTAAAAATGATATGATAAATTTTCACTTATATTTATTCCTATATTGGTTTTTTGTAGTTAAATATTTCATTGGATTCAAATCATAACTTAAAGTGACGAAAAAATTTTTGAAATAAAATTTCACATAAATTTTTATATAAGATTTTTTTCATTTTTAAGATTTTTAGAATTTTTGCGTTAAAAACTTGGAGCATATGTTAAAAAAAATCATTATTCAACAAGTAATGCTTATTATGACTTATTATGACTTACAGAAGCTTTTCGAAAGGAAGCAGTAGGAGTGAGTAAGCTTAAAATTTATTAAATAATGGTAGCATTAATTCAAAGTCAGTAAAAATTTATGCAGTTGAACACATGTTGTTATTTCTTTTATAGAATTAATAGTAATAAATTGCCATGCATGGTGAGCTTTGCCAAGTTAAAAAAGAGAAGGTTAAAATTATACTTCAATGTAGAAGACTGAATATAAGTTAGAAGTATAATGCTTCAGTTATAGAAAAATGTGAAGGAAAAAAAAATGTAAAAACTATAGATAAAATTATGTATATGCGAATTTTTTGCATAAAAATTACAGATATCTGTAAGACAGTAAATTTAAACTTATCTAAATGGAGCTAATTATGATTAAAGTTGATTTATAAGGTGAATAAAAGAGTTGAAAATTTTTAAAAGTGATAAAAATGTTAATTTTATATACTTTTATTGAAGCGTGAGGCAATCAAAATTTGGTTGCTGATTTATTAAAGTAGATGTTTCACAACTATAGTCAAAATATTATTTGATGATTTAATAATCACATCATTTATTGAAATATTCAAAAGATGACAATTTAATTCACATGAAAAGTTTTTAATATATTTCCACTAATATTACTGAAATATTATTTTTTACAAAGCAAATTTCAGCAAATCAACTTGCTGAAATTCTATAACTAGTGAACTATTTGAAAGTGAAGTTGACAAAACTATCTTATTCAACAAAACAAAAAAAGCATAACATTCAGTACTTTTGCCTTTTCTACTGCTTATTCAGTAACAAATACAAAAATATAAAAAATTGCAAAATACAGTCTTAACAATAAGAATTTGTTTTTCTTGTAACACTTAAATTTATCACATACCTAACACTTTTTGTCTACATATATATAATTTAGTTGTATGAAAAAATTGAAAAAATTAACAATTGTCAAAGCAAAACTCTGTAAATTACTACACTGAAAATGGTTTTTAAATAGCCTTGTTATCGTTTCAGCACGAAAGCACATAATCTGCCAGCAAAAAAAAACAGCAATTAAAATCTGAGTGTAGAAGAAAAGAATGATTAGTGCATTGTCATTACCATATATTTATTTGAACGAATGAAAGTAACAAGCAATATTCATTCGTTGTTCACTACCAGCACCAATAGCATTGCAAATTAGTAAATAGTCTCTACTGCTCATTTTCAGTTTATTTTCTCTTAATTGCTGTAGTTCTGTATGATTTTCAAGACTAATCTTCAAGTAAGCAATTAAATGCATAAAATTAAAACAACTTCGTTTTACATAAATAAATTGTGAATTTTTAAATTTAAACTCTATCTGGTACTTTTTTTAATATTATCAATACAATTAGATTACATTATTGAAAAATGATATCTCATTTTCGGTATTATTAAATTTTATAAAAGTTGAAAATCAGAATTGTTTAATAGTGTTTTGATTCAATTTTATATTTCATTCCATTTCTTGTTTAAATTCTTTGCCTTCAGAAAGCATGAATGCAGACAGACCCACATTACGACATTTGCTTGATTCCACATGAGTTACCTTTATACTGCGTGTTCATCAAGCTTTGCCTTCAAATTTTTTATAAAAATAAGCATCAGTTATAACATTGTGTGCAACATTCAATGCATCAAAATGTTGAGCAAGCAAATTGCAATCAATGACTGCGTGTTTTGTCAATTGATCTAGTCGTACATACTATTTTTTCTCTTTTTTTAAAAATATATTCATAATCAAGTAAATTAGTACAAACTATCAATCGCTTATCTACAAAGTAGAAAATCAATGAATAACAGCAACTTTCACTCACAACAAATTTCAGTGTAAAAAAAGTGTGATTATGAAAAAACTTGATCCCCGACAGTATTTAGAATAACTGCTTGAATTAAATTAATACCCGTACTCTGCTATTCATATTGGTAAATGCGAAACTGCTTACTTCAAAACCATTAATTACAAGATGCAACCAAAAAAAAAGTCTAATGATAATTTGCATACGCTGTTCGTTTTACACCATAATACTATATATGATTTGTCTGAGACAAAGTCAAGAATTAAATAATACTTATCTGACCAAGCAGTAAATTAGAAGAAATTTGAAAATAAAACAAATTTTTTCACAGTTGCATTGCTTTATGTTTTTGATCCAAAATATAATTTTCATGAGAATCAAGGTTGGTTTCTGTTAACAAAATTTCTTCTGCATTGACACTTAGTGCTACTGCCAATTTGACTTTTATTTCTGGAGGTTTCAAATATCGATTTGCTCGTATTTGTGCTATTAACTTATCCATAATGATATTCTGAAGAATTGAAATAGGTACTTCAAATGCTATGGATAAAAAGAATCCAACTGAATATGCCAATGCCACAGCTATTGCAAATTGATAAAGCTGAAAATAGATGATATTGTTAGAATGAAGTATTTACAACAGCGTATGTTTTTAATATCCACAAACAGGATTTGTTCATTTCCAAATTATAATATGCATTTGTTAAAATATCAACACAACAGGTAATTATTTTTGGCATAAAATTTTTGTCACTTAACAATAATTTCATTCAATATTTGATGAAGTATTTGGTAAACAACTTTTTTTTTTTCAAATTAAGACTACAAAATAAACCATTTGATAGACGGTAGTGAAATGAAAAGCATGTGGTCGACTTAAATAATAAATCTGCAGCAAGATAGGATGTATAAGATAGGCTGAAAATGTTATACGACTAAGTGGTATCCAAGCTCTCCAACTCAGCAGATCATTTACCGTTCCTAAAATATCATTTTGACAGAAAAAATTGAGGCAAAAAATTAATGACATTTACAAATTCAAATATGAAAACAAAACATGGCCTTTTGATTTTCTACTTGAATGATTTGTTGATTATGGTAGAAATAGCTTGCCTCCATATCCTGTTGCACATGCGAAAGTAACCCATGCCAAGCTTAAAGCATATGCATTTCGTCCAAATAAAGCATACATAATTCGTGCAATATCAGAGATATCACCAGTGAGAGCATAATAATACAAACTAAAGACGGATGAAAATCCAAAAATCGTGGATATGATCCAACCAGCAATTATTTTCCACTAAAAATGCATTTTAAACAACAATTAGAAAGCTGAACAAAAGATAGGTATTACTTGATAATTGTCACTATTTCATTATTAAAAATCTTACGTATACCTTAGCAAATAATGGTCGCAGAGTAAATTTATGCAATGCAAACCCTATCAGCACACCAATTATATATGGATTGCAACGAATATACGGTTTTATATAAACATCAGGCCAATAGGCGTTTAAGTCTTGCACTCTGCAATTGTTTTCATTACCAGAAAAATGAACTAAAATTCAGAGAATAACAATTAAATTCTTAATATCTCCACTTTAACTTTGCATTCACGTATTTCACAGCTATTATTTCAGTAATCTTTGGTAGAATTGCTTGTAAATGTATATGTACAAAAATTACACTAAAAATAAAAATTAAATTAATAATAACAATAATAATAAATGCAGAAAAATAAAACTAAAAAAACATACAATTGAAGTTTAGTAGTAAGTAAAGGAGCTGGTGGATAGTTATTTGCATGAATAATGAACAAATGAACTAAAGATGATATTGTAATTAGCGATAACGAAACAATAATACCCACAACCTGATTCCTATAAATACCAGCTCAAATCTGATTCATTTGGAAAATAACTTTTTTAAATTTATTTTCATAGTAAAAAGTTCATATGAAATGACTGTAAATGAAAGAAAGCAAAGAGGGAAAAATTAACTTACGTATATAAAAGTATGAGAAGTATAGGTGAAAATAAGTGAAATTGCATGTCATTTGCAAGATACCACGTCCATCCCATGCACTGTGCATTTAATAAGTTTTCATTCTCTCAATAATTAAAATGTAAAGAAAAATATAACTATTAGCAATTTTAAAATAAAATTTGAAATATACAGTTTATTTTGATAAATGCTAATGATATTAATTTGATAGTATAATTAACGATCTTTTGTAGTGTTTTTTACGATCACAAAAATATACATCTACAATAATATTTGCTGAAAAAACTCACAATTTCGACATCTTGTAACAAAAAATTATTCATGTATATAAGATTAGTCCACCAACTTTTACGACAATAATTTGCTTCGATAGGACGCCAAAAAGGTCCATCAGAAAAATGTGTCAGCAAAGTAATATCTAATATCATTACTAACACATATAATGGAGTAATTCTAAAAAAAAATGTGTGAGAATATTGTTATAAATGAAATACTCAATGTACTATTACATTAAACTATTCTCATGGCATGTGCTATTATAATGAGAGTATTTTAATGAATATTATTGTCAGTTACCATAAGAATTGTTGTCACAGAAATATCAAATATTTACCTGATATATCGATGAATGTAGAAAGATGACCACATTTCAAACGAATATATAGAACGACCTTTGGCAGCTTCAACTTTAAATTTTTCCATGAACAGAAATGAAGTCAACATACCACTGAAATACAAGACAAAAAAAGTAATACTCTACTGATTATTCCACTAAAATTCACAGCAAAAGTGGTGTTTACAAAAAATCAAAATTATAAAAAATAATTTTATTTCAAAATGAACATAAAATTCTTACACAAATTAACCTAGCACGCAATAAATTTAATCCAGAAAAGACTTTGAAATATTTCTGCTTGTTTGTTTAAATTAATATCAATTGTAATACCACAAAAAGGCATAAATGTACCAAACATTTATATAAAAATACAACCTCAGATAAAAAAATGAGTCAACGGCAAGAGGAGCCTGCAGAATGATAAGATTCAAAAATTTTTGCGGGAATGCAATAACAGTAGGAAATAAATTATCTGAAATATATCAAATAAATCAAATTGATTAAATGCGCAAGTGAAAAATAATGAAAAATAAATTATCAAAAATTAATGATGAAGTGTGAACTAATTCATCTTCATTTGCACCACATTTGTATATTTCCACAACGAAAATTTTAAATTCAAAGTAATAAAATCAGTTAAGGGAAAATTGATAATATTATGTAAAAACATACCAACAGTTAGACTAGTAACAATATAATAAAACGAATGACCAAGAATGATCCAAAACATGCTGAGTACTCGAGTACCATGAAGGCAATCTATTTGATTATCTCGTTTTTCAGTTTTTAAAATATTCCCACCATTTGTATACATTGAAAATGCCAGTAAAAATTTAATGAAAAAACCTGTAAAAAGTTTTATTATTTCTAGTATTTATTACTTGTAATTACTGCCAATAAGAAAAAATTGCAACAAAGAAAAGAAGTTTTTGACTCAAAAAGACAATAAAAGCAAACAAAACATCTCAAAATTACAAAATTAAAATAAAACTTTTGTAAAATGAATGATAAAATCATAAATCACGTGAGTTACTTTGTTTTTTGTAAAATAGTTCGTCATCAAAATTTTTTACTTCCTTTTGATACACGGCATAATCGTAAATAGTGCCAAAAAGCGATAAAATAATCATGAATAGTAAAAAAAATCTGTAAAAGCATTGCTCAAAATTAAAGAATAAAAAAACTTTTTAAGTTGTAAAAATTAAGAAATTTTGACGGAAGTAAGTAGTAAATCTTGAGATAACTGAAATATGATATGAAATAAATATAAATTTGAACTAATAATTCTTTGCAATCAAAATTGCGATAAACTTAAAAAAATTAAGGAGAAGAAAAAAGAATCAAAAAGTTTAGATAGAAAAGATTAAGATAGACAAAACTGACCCTCATGGCACTATTTTCATTTCTACCAAAAATATAGGAAGTTATATGATAATAATAATAATAATTATTATTATAATTATTATTAATATTATCAAATTATACCATATTCAGTCTCAGAAAACTTACAGTACAACTAAAGAACTGGAATCATGCGAGAGCTGTGAATGAGGCAGATTATTTCTGCAAACGATATTCACATCACATATTACATTTCGACCCATCGCGTTTTCAGATAATTTGTAAACTGAAACTCCTAATCAATTAAGCTATTACAGTTTGCAAATGTATATTCGTTCATTTCCTTGACTGATAGATTTTGTTTGTTGCAAACTTCATTAATTTTAAAGCTATAGAAAAATTGAGTGAAGTATTCTCAACTTTTCAAATTAAATCAAAATGGTCACAGTAATTGGTTTGTATCAGGCTTAAACTAACTCAATTGAATGATTTTTTTCACATCATATTCAGTGCAAGAATCGGGTGTACAGATGCCATAATTAAGAAGTGGAATTAGTGTGAAGCAT